CTCTTGGGCTTAAGCGATTCTCTTGCCTCAGCCTCCTGAGTAGCTGGGACTACAGGCACCTGCCACAATGCCCAGCTATTTTTTGGTTGCGGTTGTCATTGTTGTTCAGGAGGCCCAGGCTGGGCTCTAACCTGCCAGCCTTGGTATATGTGGCTGGTGGCCTACTCATTGAGCTACTGGCACGGAGCTTCTTTGCTACTTTTTTTTTTTTTACTTTGTTTCTTTTAATTTCTTTTATTGTTCTGCATTGTAATTTGTTTCTATTACTGCCTCTCTCACTTTGTTGTGAGCTTCCCAAAGATGCAGAACCTTTCTGAGTGATTTTTTTTTTTTTTCAGTGTGCCTAGAACACTGTTTGGTACATAGTAATTCTCTCTTTTTTTTTGTTTGAGACAGAGTCTCAAGCTGTCATCCTGGGTAGAGTGCCATGGCATCATAGTTCACAGCAACCTCCAACTCTTGGGCTCAAGCGATCCTCAGTTTTTCTATTTTTAGTAGAGATGGGGGTCTTGCTTTTGCTTAGTCTGGTCTTGAACTAGTAAGCTCAAGCAATCCACCGACCTCAGCATCCCAGAGTGCTAGGATTATAGGCATGAGCCATCATGCCTGGCCTTGTAGTAATTCTTACAAATGAAAATATGACTACATTTCTTCCTTGGTTAAAATTCTTGGGTTATTCATGTCTCCTAAGAGGTAAAATTTAAACTCTTTTTCAAGGCCCTTCATGACTTGTCAGCGTCATTGGAAGCTGCTCTTCATCTCAATGTTTTCATTGAAATAATATCAAATATACCACTCCTTTTAGTATGTTTGCTTCTGCTGTTTTCTCTGCTTCCAACATTCTTGACTCCTTTCTTTGCTAGATACTTACACTTATCCCCAGGACTCAGGTTAGGAAATGAGAACAAATGAGAAAAAAGAACTAATAATCAGGAATAAGAAGGGAACATCATTACCAATAATGAAACATAAAAAGAGTTATAAGAGGATATAATGAACACCTTTATGTCAGTAAGTTTAATAAAATGGACAAATACCTAGAAAAATATATCTAACCAATACCAAATAAAAAAATTTTTACATAGAAACCAGCCAGGCACAGTGGCCAATGCTAGTAATCCTGGTACTTTGGGAGGCTAAGGTGGGTGGATCACTTGAGGTCAGGAGTTGGAGATCAACCTACAACATAGCAGCACATTGTCTCTACAAAAAAAAAAAAAAAAATTTTTTTTAAATTAGCTGGACACAGTGGCCCATACCTGCAGTCCTAACTACTTGGGAGGCTGAAGCAGGAGGAATGCTTGAACTTAGTTCGAGGTTGTAACTATGATCATACCTCTGCATTTCAGCCTGGGCAAGAAACAGACCCTGTGTCTAAAAAGCAATTTTAGAAACCTAAATACATAGTCTATAATCATTAAAGAAATGTATTTGGTAATCAAATATTTTCCCACAAAGTAAATTAGAAGGCCAGATGATTCTACTACCAACGAGTTCCATAAAACTTGCAAAGACCAAGAATTTCAACTTTAAATTACTTAAACAATAGAAGAGGGAATGTTAGAAGTTTAACATAACCTTTGATCCTGGAACCAGATAAAAGTATAATGAGAAAGAAATTATAGGATAATCTCACCTATAAACTTACATGTACACAAATCCTAAACAAAACATAAGAAAATTGTCTGTAATTCTAGCACTCTGGGAGGCTGAGGTGGGTAGACTGAGCTCACAGGTTCGAGACCAGTCTGAACCAGAGCAAGACCTCATCTCTAAAAACTAGTTGGGTCTTGTGGTGGGCGCCTGTAGTCTCAGCTACTCGGGAGGATGAGTCAAGA